ACTATTAATCTTATGAAAATGCGATACAACATTGCTGCGAGTAGACATAAATAAGTGGGAGAAAAACCAGTCGATTTCATCATTCATAAATACGAAGCAAAGTTAGCTGTGAACAGAAAGTTATCTAGTAATAATAAGTAGTAAGAGAATGCCAATCTATTTCGTATTCGACACCTACTAATGCAGTTAGCATGCAAGTCATCTTCGGTATGTGGGCGTGTCTTTTATCTGCCTGCATCTAAACACTTACCCTAATAATTAGAAGGATTATAGATAATTTATGAGGTGATATTGCTTTTTTTTATATAGATTAAAGCTTTTGTTTTTTCATTATAAATTTCTTGACTATTGTTTACATGAAAAAATTTTCGTAGACCCTAAGTAGACATCTTCTGTTCTATTTCCGTATTTAATGTATTCTTCACATATAGGTTTTGTTTTTCGACATTAGATTAAATGATGATCATACCTAAAGAAGAATTCTTAAAAATAGGATCATAATCTACTAATCTAATAACGTTATTCTTGTCAGTTACATCCATCATTAAAAGAAAAAACAATTTTCAATATTTAATTTTTTTTTCAAATGATTGTTATGTATTCTGATTTATTTCGTATTCCACTATAGATAAAAATAAAACAATGATCAAGAAGCAAGCGAAAATTTTTATTGTTAACTTTTTCAAAATGAGCATTCATCAAGAAAATGAATTATCGATTGTTTCGAATATAATATTAATTAAAAACTAAATAAGAGTTTTTTTTTTGAAAAGAATATTCTTTTATTGATAATATTGAATTACAAAACAATAATATAAAAAAATCACTGACATTTATGCGCTCTTTAGGAAACAGAAATTACATAAGTTTTCACAGTTCTTATGAAAGAACGACGATCTTCCTCAAGATATTGACTTTTTGAAAAAAAACGTCAGGTGAATATTTCTTTATATAACTTTCAACGAGGAATAGAGATCAATCATTGCGACTTTCATTATTGGAACGACAAAATCGAGTTGCATTGAGGCATATACTATCGGTTCTCCACAGATGTTTTCTGAAGTTTTTTAATCAAATATATAAAAAAAAGCTGTCGAAAAAAATGGTTCCTATTAACATAAGCAAAAGGAGACATTGAATTCTTTTCACAGCTTTGCGTAGTTTTGTAGATCTTCCATCGGAGATTCGAAACAGATTTTTAAAAATTTATGTGATGTCATGTACAAGTGTAAAGAAACAAAAACGATCACCTGAAAGAAGGCTGACTTTACACATAATATTATTAGTAATAGGAGCATTAAGATGAATATGTGGTTGTAACTGAAATAAATATTCACTTACATCTACCCGTTGAATCTTAGACGCAATTTTTCATCTGCTCAAAAAACAACAACCGCAGTATTCAAAATATTCAGAAGCGTACTGCAACCATTCAAATTTCGAGGAAGGTTTTGGCATATTCTAGAACCTTTTGAAACTTGTTATTGATGTCGTGCAGCGCTTTTAATCCTGATTGTTACTCAGACTTAAAAAATCACAAAATATCATTAAAATGATAAAACAGACATTGTTTTTCATGCATTCAATTTCATGAATTGAAACAAATATTTTTATCAAAGTCATATCATGGACTTTTATTTAAGATCAAATTCATGGAATGTATTTGATGAAATTAAAATACATCAAAAGTACCATGCTTTTTGCATGCTTTTGTGTCTGTAATAGGAACGGAGACAGGCGTGGCTGGCAAATGGATAACTTTGTCTTATTTGATAAAAACTTATTGATTGATTCTTGATGTAGATGAAACTGTAACTGAACTTGTACTATCATAGATATCAAACTACTTTACTTAAAATTTTAGATCCTTAAACGTCGAGTACGAATACATAGGTCTACTGATTTATATGAAATAACTGTTTTATACAATGGTGGGCTGACTTTAAAAGATTCGTGTTTCAAATGATAAAAAATTGACTAATTCTTGAAGTTCAATATGCAAGAGAAAGTCTTTCGAGAAAAACAATTATCCATATACAATTGCACGATGAATATTTTTCTTATTGGATTATTCTTATATGACCATTATGACACTGAAATAAAAAAAGGAAAATCAGGGCAGGGCTCATTGTTTTCTTGTTGGATAATGTTCTATACTGTATGTGACCTTTTATGACGATGTCAAAGTCATAAATACAAAGGTCACTTTGAGATATGCTTTAGACAATAACTTCTAACATAATACTTATGCTTTACGTAGCCGACGGTAGAAAAATATTCAATATCTCACGCTGCCGCCATTGCTACTAATAAGACGACTGATACGTCTATATAGGACGTACATTAATTGAATGCCTTGCATAATATTTGTCCTTTCTCTGTTTTTCTTCCCTATAAAATGAAAAATATTGTTAAACATAATCAGTCTACAGATCATTACATAGAAATGGCATCAACTGATTCTTTTTCAAGAGAAATAATGAATATGTTTATTTCTATTTTCTACGTGGTAATGACCTTTATTTGTTTCTACATTTTCATATGCAATACTGACAAATATTCCATGTATCGTCAGTCTGAACTTGATGTCAAAATGTTCTCCTTGAGAACAATCTGTCATATCGACCAAATTATATCGCGTCCACAGGAAACCATAGATTCCTCATCGATCATTATGAATAGTACGTTTCTCATTTCTTTCGAAGTAACTTCAAATGGAAACACTACAAAGCAACAATTTGAAGAATGGTCAGTACCTGTACTACTCAAGCCAGATGTAGTAAGCATAGGCGTGTGAATAAGCATTGATTTAATTTTAATCTGTTGTTTTTCTATCTTTTTAGATCAACAGCACATATATTTGTTTTACTGACCCGACCAATACTCGACGACGACCACTCAAATACAATCCGGACAATAGCGCTGCTCGCGATGCTTTTATCTGGCATATGTTTGTGCCCGGCTTATTGGGCACATTAGGATTTATCATGGTATTGATTGCTCTCATCAATCAATGTTTGAATATGACTCCATAGTTACAACCGCGAAGCTTGGTTTATGTACGAACACATCGTAATACTACAATATAATTAACAGATTAGATCTGTACTTATTCATTTTTTGTTGTAAAAAATAAATAAAAATCTAATTAAGTGCATTCTCATTATTATTTTGCTTGCATAATTAGCATGTATTATTTTGCTGTCAGTTTTTTTTCATACTATTTGTTGGTATGATCATCCTCTATGAGAAAATGAAGCGCAAAAATTATAAAACTCTATTTTGACGACTATAAATTGCTTCGACATCTTATACTGATATTATTCGTAAAAAATATGTGATTTCAATCGATGCTCATAATGAACCACACGCAAAACAAAGTCATTGGTATGTTCTACGCACTGTGCTCAAAGTTATTTGTTTCTCATCTGGCCACTGATATCACTGATAGTTTCATATAAAAGAAAATAGGAGAATAGTGTTTCTATTATGCTTTGTGTCTTAAATATATCTACTATATAATTTATGAAGAGAGTAAAAGTATATTAGAGTGTGTGGTCTTCATCGCGAACGATTTATCGTAATTTTAGCATGCATTGAGCATATCTATAAAATAAATTACTTATTTTTTTTTTCGACTATCCGATATTTCACTGTAAAACATCTTGTTTAAGTAAAATTCAAAGTAACCATGAGTAATCGTTTTCGAAAAAAGGTTATATTCCAGTTAAAAACAAAAAGTGCAATCTAGAACGGATGTCCATTTACAAAACTAAAGAATTAGAAAGATAGTAATTTTGCGAGAAAAACTAAAATCAATTATTGTTCAAGAGTATTGCGAATGAAGTTATAATAAATATTATCGACTAAAAGATGCTCCATAATTACTAAAAATAAATTTTTTCATACTTTTTTCTTGACATAGAAGGCTAAAACTTTTCTCACCTATATATCTAACTAAGATTCTTAGTTTTCGAAGTTTCAACTCTTCAACTAAAACTAATGCTGAATTGTATAAGCAAGATTAAAATACATAAATTTTCATACTTGATTTTTATGAAGTTATTATTTCTTGATCAATCTTATTTAAAAAACATTTGGTGGAAAGAAACTTAACAAGACAAAAGTTTTTTTAACAACATAAATTATACTAAAACTCAATAAATTAGTATACATCAGTAAATTTAACGTCAGTATCAACATTGTTTCTATATGTACATTAAATAATTGTGTTACGAAACGTACGATCAATATTCCATGTTGTCTTGAGACACCTACACTTGGTAGTATGAGAACAAACGTGTTATAGACTAAGTCTTCTTTTGAAAAATATCACGAGATTTTGGTTCAATATTTTTCTATCTGAACAATAGCAGAAAGCACAAAATTCTCTATTGGATGAATCTAAAACAAGGCTACTAATGTGAAAGTCAATACTTTGGAATGTAAGCAAAATTTCGAGCCGTTCACACCAAGAAAATATATAAGAAAAATGTTGTTGACAATTTATTTTTAGTTATGATGGGACATTCTGCATATGTTTTTAAAAATGATTCATTGAATTGCAACAAAACATGTAAATACAACAGAATGATTTTTTTTTTCATACTCGGTATGAAACACGTGCATGATGTAATTACTAAGAAATACTTGAGTCACGGAAAAAGTACAGACAATCGAATAAAAGCTATAGTTACTATATAGATACACATTCAATCAGTCACAAAAAAGAAACAGATACATATATATTTTTAAAAATAGTATATAATCTTAAGTTCTGCTTGTAGTTTTAATCTTTTTTTTTAATCGCTACGAATATTTCTCTGAATAATGGAAGACATTTCGATTGTATTTCTTTCAGTTCAATCCTAAAGAAACTTTTCAGTCCACTAAGGCAAAATATGGATATGATGTTGTGTGACTTTGACGAAGAATTAATTAATAAAGCAAATTTTCAAAATTTCTCTTGTTTTAGATTGCTATTTTTCGATAGCTTCAACATGCCACAACGGCAAGGCAAACGACAAGGATTAAGAACAAATGCAACTATACGACGCAATAAATTCGAACATAATGCTAATCGAGGAGATTTTATCATGGACAAGAATAGTGGAATTGCTTTTTCTTTATCAAAGTCAAATCGATGGGAATTGATTGATGACGAAGAAAACCAAATGCCAATACGAAAAATGATGCCTATGGGTATGCGATCCAACTGCAAAAGCAGTCCATATTGGTACACCGGATTTCCTGGTGGACATTTTCAAGATTTCGATCGTGCACGACAATATCAAATAGTCAATGGAAAAAGAAGTAATGTTCAACTAGAAAAACAAGACACGGTTGATGCATGGATCGATTTGTCATTTAAAAATCACGAATATCCTTTAAAAAGAGAATTACATAAGAACCATGATACACCCTGTCGAGGTTGTCTTCGAAGTGGTGGAGTGATACTTTTTCGTGGACGTGGTAAAAAATCCTTAGGAAAAACAAAAGGTATGAAATCCTATCGACGTAAAGATTGGGAAGACGAATTTAATTTATAATAATCAATTACTGTTATCTTCATTTTTTATTCGAACATTAGATGTATAGAAGATTTTGTCGATTTTGTTCCATTATTCTACAATAAATGTAATTCTTTTAGACGAATACATAGTAATAATAATATTTGATTGAATGAAAGTGAATGATGCTGTTTACTTTTATCTAGACAGTGACTTAAACTCACATATAAATATTCATTGAATTTAAATTATGCAATAATTCAGAACAGTTTGTTATAATGAAAGAAATACTAACATTATATTAGAAAATTTTTGTTTCAGCAAATTATGATAATTGAATCTTCTGATATTGACTACAGGGATATTTTACTTACGAAAAAGAAGAATCAAAATCAAGCAATTATTTACAATATAACTACATAAGTTTAATATTTGATTTCAATGGAAGACACAATGTATGATCGGATCAGCTTCTACTTTCAAGTTCTACCAAGTACATGCATTTTAACTTTGAATTTCATTGATAATGATGTACCCTCCATAATAATTCAATATCTCAATTTGTATATAATTTATATAAGGAGATGAGTTTGCGCCTTCGAGCGATCTCCAATATGCCCATGGGTATTAGGTTAAAACATGATCACCACTCATACTCACACCCCATACCCACCGTTAGATTGATGACGAATTAAATATTCTCATGATCTGATTCATATGTACAAATATTGTTTTGTTCTTGTTTTTCGTTCTTTTCAATTGAATAGATATGATGTCGTTATCGTCGAAAGCCTTAAAAAAAGAACGACCATTGGTTTACTTGTATATGTGACCGTTTCGAAGTGAATATGAAGGAAAAGGTCATCGGTGAATTTATTTTACTACTTATAGTAGTTTTTTTTTCTTTTTTTCTCTCTCTCTTGTACATATATACATATTTATATTTTGTGGGTGAGCGTTATTATTTGCGTTCTCTTAGTAGCTTGACATTGTTCGTTATGCCTACAAAATCAAATAAAAAGCTTCAAGGCCCAAGCCTTTATAAAACATTTGTTGATGCTTATATGAGAGCTCGACCTAATGAAAAACGAGCTGTAAGTTCCTAATTGAATTAAAATAGAACATCAATGTTTTTTTTTTGTTTATGTTTTACAATAGGACAAACATTATGATGCACAAGTTGAATGGAATGAAATAAAATGGAATGAAGAATATGTTAAAGAAAAAATTGAAGAATATTTAGAAAAATATAATCAACTTGAAATATCTTCAAATGAAGTTATTGAACGTCCGTCATCACCTTCTCCTTCAAATCAACCAAAAACTAATCGTTGTCGCCCCAAAAAAAAACCTAAAATTGATCAATCTGATAATACAATAAATGAAGATAATAATAATAATAATAATAATAATGAAAATACAACAGATGATAAACAATCAAAGGGTGTTGATGATATTGATGAAGATGATCTAGAAGATGATGATGATGATGATGATGACGATGATGATGAAGAAAAGAAAAAGAGAAATAAGAAAAAAGCTTATTTTATTAAAAGACGTAGAACACTAGAAGAAGAATTACTACTTGAATATCCAAAAGAATTACCAGGTGCAACTGGTGGCCCATTTGACCCATTAGCAAAACAAAAAAGAACACCAGCACAAGAACGTGCTTTTACAGCATTAAGTTCTATTAATGAACGTATTGCTTCATTAGTACAAGTTAGACAAATGGGTTTATCAACACCAGAAAATAGAAGACAATTAAAACAATTAATGAAAGATAGAAAGAAGAAAGCTTATGAGTTAAAACGTCTTCAATCGAAACAAAAAGCTTCAAGTACATATCGAGTTAAAAAAAAACAAATTGTATAAACAATTTCCTTTTTTATTATTTTCATTTAATTTTTTGTTTTTTTTTTGATTATTTTTTAGGTTGAACATTTATTTGAAACAAAACCTGAATTACATCCACAATTGAAAAAACTTTATCGTCGTGGTGCTGGTCGACCACGAGTTGAAGAACAATGCCCTGATTTATTACAAATTATTGAAGAAATTGCAAAAGTTGGTGGAGCAAGTGATGATCGAAGACGATCAGAAACTATTCGACCTTGTTTAACATTAGATGATTTAAGAGAAAAAATAAAACAAAGAGGTTATGATATTAAACGTACAACACTTTATTATCGGTAAGTTAACAAAATCTTGTAAGATAAGCATCAGTTTTACTAACTGTATCAAAAATTTTTGAATTTCTTTTTATTTCGAGCACATTCTAACAGAAACAAATGAGTTTCGTTTTCATCATCTATCTAACAGGAATTAAAAACGTTTTCATAAAAATCAAAATTTTGTCATGTAACTGATGTTATTCATTTCAAAATGAATATTCAATGAAAAAATTTTAGTTATTAAATTGATTACACTTTAATCGAACAAGTGTTTTAAAGATGATGATAAAGTTTTGATTTACAAACAAGATATATGAAGGTTAATAGAGAAGGACTTCCTCTACCCGATGACTCATGCGCTATCAAGTTTTATTGTGTTACGGTCAAAACGTCGACAGAGGGAACTATCTTATCCGTGACTAGAGTAGAAAGCATTGGAGGCGACGCCATCTATTGATAGATCAATTTCTGGGATAAAAAATGACCAAGATGTTTATATTCGCTTTAATCAACACTTCGCGAAAATTATTTTAAATTCTATGATGATGAAATTTTTCGCTAAATCGATTTCGCCTCATATTTGCAAATATGACAATAAAATACAGTCTCACTCTAAACGCTTGAATTCGAACTTAGTGTATAAAACTAAAACTTTTGCCTTTGACATAGTATATCAACCTGAGCCATTTTTTTCTGCACTGTTCGCATGTTAGTCGATAGACTTTACTGGTAGAGTTTTTTTTTCAGAAATTATCTACATGACACGATTAAAGTTAACAGAAGAGATTTTTATTATCTAATCTTAATGCTTATTTGTTGATTAAAAAATGATTTTGATAACAAATTAACCTAATTAAATTTAAGTTCAGTTTTGTATTTGTACAGATTTGATTAAAAACTAGATTAGGATAGAAACGAGCATTCTATTCTAGTGAAGATATTTACTAAGTCAGTATTCATATATGGCTGTTGTGTTCAGAAGTGGCTTATGTAAAAAAAAAAAAAAGAATAAAATTTTATTTTTATCACATCAAAATAAATCTTCACATTAACGACGACGACTTCTTTATCTCGGTCGCATAAAGTAAGAGTATATTGAAGTACAAATTGAGAATAATGAAATATAGGAGAAAAAAATTATTCGATGAGACAGAGAAATCTGATTAGAACACATACACAAAAAAAAAACATAATCAGAATTATTATGTAGTTACTTTTGTTTCATTGCGTTTTTTTTTATTTGAATCTAGAAAATAAAACTTGAATGAATATCTATAGTAAACATATTTAAACAAATATTCAATCTCATTCGACAAGTTAACATTAAAAAATAAACTAAATAAGTTATTAAAATAGTCTCTTTCTATCGTCGATATTTTCACATCCAACCAGTTTTCTTACATCAATTTGCAGCTTTTTGGAAAGAGTTTTATTTTTCAGCAATGGCTAGGCGCGATATACACCTCTGGTATGGACATGTAGATAAAAAATTATTGTTAGATTTGATTTATTCTGATTGTATGTTGTTAATATTTAAAATCTTCATAATAAAATTTCAATTATGAGAAAAATTTGTTTTAATGATGTAATTATAAATACTTTTTTAAAAATATTTTAGTCTCTTACCTCATCGTGCAAAATCAATAGATGGTCGTCGTCATGTTAATACTGTTCCAGTTCGTCTTCGTCGTGCTCAAAATGATGAACATGGAAAACATGAAGATGGTCATTTTGCTACGGCAACAATACGTTATATGAAAGATTTAGCTTCTATATTTGGCAATGATTGTGTTTTTTATTTATCTCAAGATGATAAATGTAAAGTTCCATTAGGTTTACCTGCAGCTAGAGTTCAAGCACCAATGTTAATGCATTTGGATTATCGTATACGTTTACCTGATCACGATTGGACAGTTGCACCTCGACATCAATTAACACCAAGTGTATATGCAGCATGTCTTCTATCCGAAGAGGGAGATTTAGGTTATTCAGGTCCAACATATATTGCAATACGTTCAGCTAAACATGAATTCTCAAGTGCTGAATCTCATGCATTAGATTTTGATCGTCTTATTTGTTTAAAAGAATTTGAAGAAGTAGCACGTGATGATACTGGAGAAGTTAAACCAATTGTTATTGTTACTGTTGATGGTGGTCCTGATGAAAATCCACGTTTCCCAAAAACACTTGTTTCAAATATTAGAAAATTTAAAAAATATAATTTAGATGCACTTTTTATTCTTACACATGCGTAAGTTTAGTTATTTTAATATTTAAAAAAAAAGATTCGAATATTTTTGTTTCTTTGTTTTTTAGGCCTGGTCAATCAGCTTATAATATAGTTGAACGTCGTATGGCACCATTATCTCATGATTTAGCTGGTCTTATATTACCACATGATTATTTTGGTTCACATTTAAATGAATCAGGTGTAACAGTGAATCTTGAATTAGAAAAATTAAATTTTCGTAAAGCTGGACAAATGTTAGCTGATACATGGAATCTATCAGTTATTGATGGATTTCCATGTGTTGCTGAATATATTAATCCACCAGCATCATCAGACGATGAACGTCGACAAATCGATGTTAAAATTGTTATGGATGAACTTTTACGACAGTAAATTTTATCTTCTTTTTTACTTATTTTCATTTATTTTTTATTTTATTAAATAGAATTTGTGATGAAGAAGAAGCAGAAGAAGGATATGAATTTCGTGTTCGTGCATCGGAAGAATATTATCAAGAAAATGCTCGTGCACCAAGAGAAAAAACTGGTGAACAACCAAAATATGATATTGATGAACATTGGTGTTCTATACATGTTTTACAAACACAATATACATTACAAATAATTCGTTGTAATTCAGTTGAATGTTGTGGGGAGTGGCGTTCAAATTATGTTGAAGTATTTCCTCATCGATTTTTACCATCACCTGTACCATTTGAACGTACACCATATGGTGTTAGAATGGCAGAAAGAGATTATCAAAGAGGACAATTTTATGGATCATTATTTCAACGAATTCAATTTCATGGTGTTGTTATTCAACATACTCAGGTTAGAACAAAGTTTTTTTTTTTTCATTATTATTGATTAACCATGGAATATAAATTGAAATATAGAAGAAAAAAAGATTCTTCGAGAGTTATAAGATTGTGAAATTTCAAAAATATTGTCATAACAGAGTTTGATCATTTCAAATATATAAATAAATATCAACATTTGATTGAGCATGATGAATTACTTCTGCCTAGCTGCTCTTTCGGATAGAACACTTAATCAATAGCTAATAAAACAAAAAAAAAAAAACCATTGATCCCATCATTAACTCATATTTACTGTTTACTTGAATAAAAAAACAGAATGAAACAAGAATTTTCTTTTTAGAATGAAATGTTACCATTTGATTATTGTTGTTCATCAGTTAAAAAGGAATTAAAAAAACGTACATGTAAAGTATGTAATCAATATATTCCATCAGCATATCGTATGAAAAATCATTATAAAATTCATGCACAACATTATGATGATTTTGATCATGATCAAGAGGATAGATTACCACCATCAGTAGAAACAACTGATACAGCAACAAATTCAACTGAAAGTCAACCAATAACAACAGCATCATCAGAACCGCCACCACCACCTGTATTTAAAACAGAAATGCTAGATTGGCTTCGATCAGATTTCGATGATTTTGATTTGGGTCCAGCACCAACAAAACTTGCAAGTGATCGTGTTACACGTTCAATGAAAAAATTACGTGTTCAAGAAAATGAAGAAGAACCTGACAATAAAGATTGGGTGCACGTCGATTAAAAACATTTAACATTTATGTTATCAATAATTATCTTTACTTTTCGATTATTAGTTCATGTTAGCTTTTTGTAGTCTTCTCTTGCTTTTTTTTCGATTGTGATATTGTTTTATCATTTTTTTGTTATACCGTTTTTTATTCACAAAGATTTTCTTGTGAAAAAGTGTTTAAATATACAATAAGGATTTTCCTTAATTTATGATGAGCATGAATATCTGTTTGATATTGAGAATAAGAGAATAATTTAAATTGAGTTTTCACGAGAAAAACAAAATGGCTCTTTCATGCAGATTCATTCTGTGTAAAGAAACAGGGAACGACACTAACATGTAGATGGATGTGAGTGTTGATTCAAGGGTCGTGTCTAATGCCAAGACAACCATCATTCTAACCCGGCATACTTTAATTCGCTTCAACACTATACCAATGAAAATAACTCGAAAACTTAATAAGAGTCAGACTCACATCCTTCTATGCGAGATGAATCAATGAAAAGCTCACTGATGAACTAGATAATTAATGATGAAAATTTCATTATTTTAACCGTTTGTTTTCTTGCCATTACAATCATATGTGACACATGTAACGTCCTGCTTGTTTTTTTTCGAAAATGCTTCTTTCTATTGATAAAAGAAGGATCAGGCCAATAAAAACTGTAAGCAAGAACGAAAAAGTATGCATGAGATAGAAAACTTTTGTCGTAACTTTTTAACAGTCACATTTTTTGTAAAAGGTAGTAGAAGAAAATAAAAAAATCCTTTAAATATAAGCATAAAAAACAATGTAAGAGTTTAACATATGCTATTCATAGAAGTAATGGTAAAGAGATAGAGACTTGATCCGTACTCTTGAAATTTCCCCCTAATATTTTAATCAAGTAAAATAATTTTCATGTAAGAATCAACAACAGTGGCATTGTGTTTAAATTTTTAAACCCATAGGAATTGTGCTAACAGTTTTTTTTTTCTAAATAGAATGAATTCAAAAACTAAACATAGATACCTATCATCTTTGTTTTTGTTAAAATACTTTTCTCTCTAACCCATTACTGTTGTGAATCCTAAATGGAAGTATCATTTGATTCTGTCCAAACCCAACACATACATATATTAATGAATTTGTAAACTAGAACTTGTATGCTTAATCAAGCTGATTTTTAATATTTAGATGTCTAAATGGTCTGAACCTTTGGAAACAGTGTTACAACATCAATTACCATTCAATCCTAATCCTGAAAAGGATATCAACATATTGCTATTGGGTGAAACAGGTGTTGGTAAAACAGCTTTTATAAATGCATTTGCTAATTATCTTTCCTATGATACTCTCGATGCAGCACTTAAAGGTCAAATGCAAGTACTAATACCTTCTTGTTTTTCAGTGGCTGACAATGATACACATGAACAAACGACAATAATCGTAGGATCTCCCGATAATAATGAACTTTGTGAGGATAATGGTAAATCACAAACCCAAGGTTGTAAAAGTTACTTATTTTCCATTGGTAATCGTTACCTTCGTTTGATTGATACACCAGGCATTGGCGATTGTCGTGGTGTAGAACAAGATAACGCGAATTTTGATCACATTCTTGCTTTTGTAAGTCGTTATGAACATTTAAATGCTATTTGCATTATGCTTAAACCAAATGAAAATCGATTAGGTATTTTTTTTAAATATGGTATTAAAGAATTACTAAAACATTTGCATAGAAATGCTAAAGATAATGTTACATTTATTTTCACTAATGCTCGAACAAATTTTTATATGCCAGGTGCAACATCGACGCAATTAAGAACTCTACTCAATGATTTAGAAAGAACTACACGTATACATGTTCCATTTCTTAAAAAAAATACATTTTTGTTTGATAATGAATCTTTTCGTTTTTTGGCTATAAGAAAATGTGGACATGATTTTTTTAAAGATCAAAAACAATATTTTATTGATAGTTGGAATAAGTCTGTGGCTGAATTAAGTCGTATGCTTGCACATATTGTTAAATGTGATTTACATGCTGTTCGGGATATGGAATCATTAAATGAAGCTCAACAGCTTATACGTAAATTAAGTCGTCCTATTGGTGAAGTAGCTACACTCTTACAAGAAAATATTCAATTGGCTGAACAACATAAAAGCAAAGTATTAACAGATGCAAAAGATATCAAACCTAATCAGATACCTCAAAAAGCTGCAGAAATTGTTCCACTCAAATATCCACGTACTATCTGTACAAGTACGAAATGTTCAAAAGTGGTTAAAGTCAATGATGAAATGAAAGTTGACTATGTTGTTCAATGTCATAAACATTGTTATTTAAAAGGAGTCGAACAAGAAGTTATTAATAATCCAATATTGAAACATTGTCGCGCAATGGATAAAACAACAGGTAAAATAATTCAGTTTTAGAATTATAGAGCTTTTCATTTTTGACTAATAGAATAGAAATTTAAAAAAATATATATATGATAGTCCTTATGTAGGAATAATTAATGCAATTTATCACAGTGAAAATTTCATATAAAAGTTTTTGACAGATGATAGCATAATATTAATATAACCTTGGCATCTTCATTCATTATATTTTGTTCACAAAACGTTTTTAATTTCAGGTATATGCAAACAATGTCACTGCAAATGGAATAATCATATGCATGTAACTTATGAATTTCGAAAACATTTGACTTATTATGAAATAGATGATGAACAATTATCTCGTTCATCAGAAAGAATATTCTCACGTATTGATCGTAGAATATCTGAATTAAAACAAGAACAAGAAATAATCCGCCATATATGTGCTAAATTGACATTATTTCTACGAGTAAATTCAATCAATCCAACAAACGAAGATATTATTGAATATATAAATCATTTTATTCGAGAAGAAAAAGAAAAACGAAATGCAGGATATAATAATGAAGAAACTATTCGTGGCCTAGAAAAAATGGTTAAAGAATATCAAGATGAAATTAATTTATTTAAATCTAACGTTGGCACAGATACAGATAGAGGTGGTGTTCCTCGTATTGAAGACATATTTGTTTTTAAATGTCAACTTTTTGAATTACCGATTACTGGAAAATATATAGAAGAACAAATCCAAAGTTTAAATTCAAATCAAATGAATATGATCGAACAACGAGAACAATATGTTAATTTACCATATGGTGCAACATGTTCAGTAACCATGAAAGAACTACAGAAAGTGGTCACTTGAAAAAAAAATGTTTTTCATTTAGTTTTAAAATAAAAAATGTCTGCAAATTTATGATTTCCCCTTGTAGTATCGCTTCTATGATTATGGAAGTCATGTGATTGATTTGAATTTAACATATGAATATTAATAAATAGATAACTTTCCAGAAAAAATAATCTGATCTATTAGTAGATAATAGAGATCTGTCAATGAGTTCATTTGATGCCTGTAGATTATTGAGGATATGGTTGGATGTGAATGTGAGTGTGGAATGTCGATGCAGTGTGGGTTTGTGTACTTGCCTCAGTTACCTTATTCTTCACTCACACTCACACCTTATTACACTAAACAAGGAGTGAACAGGAGCATATCATGGCCAAGATTTTCCTATTGTGTCATAAAAAGTCAACGACGCTGCATTAATACATCTGTAATCGATTTTTACGTTTTCTTTTGCGGTGTGCTATGTATAGTCAAATGGCAAAATGTGGTTAAATCATCCTTTTCAGTCAATCATAGGGTCATTGAACGACAGGACGCTGAATAATATTCTATGAACAGAAAATTTTCTGAAAAATGTCTCTCTTTTTCGATATACATGAGAAAAGAAGAAGTAGTACCAAGACACAATAGCATATATATAATTTCTATATTTGAGTTCCTGTCAAGTGCTTTTTTCGTTCATTATAAAAGCAAGGTCTTGCTTTTGGACAGAATTTTGAATGTCATAGAAATTGTGCTGAATATGAATCTTTTCGTTTGTCATATTTCTGTGAGAATAATAAAAAAAACACATCAGCGATATGTTGTTTGATGAACTAGAAAAAGCAGTCATGTGAAATCACTAAACCCCCTCCCCCCTTATAATTGAAGACCCCCCCCATATTAAAAGACCCCCCCCCCAATAATAGAAGACCCCTTTGGGAAAACATCGTGTCCCACATAATAGAAGACCCCCCTATTTATTTGAGATTTTTTTTTTTAAATTGAGGATTTTTATCAATGTTTTGCCCCGAAACGTGTCTATTTCTGGAGGTTTTCAGCTGAAAATTTTCAAATTGATGAGTTAAACTCTATATTTCAGCTTTGAAAATCGTGAAAATTCTTTCTCCAATTTTCAAAATCGCTTCGATTCTCTCCGAGGACTTTTTTATTGACAAAAACTTATCAATGTAGTCACTATGGAGCCAAAGTGTAGTACTCATTAGACTCAGACTGCTACAAATCTATATTATATTCTCAAAAATGAGTGAAAAAGTTTATTTTCAAAACATATCAAATAAATGGATAGATTACAACTAATTCTATCGTTTGAGTTACAGCATACGCTGTAAAACATTATTCTGAAGAAACTATTTCATTTCGAATTCCTATCTCTCCTTCATTGCAGTTATCAGATTTCCTAAATATATTTATAATATTAAGACAAGCGACGCAGAATGTGAAACTTCAAAAAAAAACATTGGTCATAATGATTAATTTCTAGCAGTTTCTATTCGTACATTTCAAACATATTTTTTCTCTAATGCGTTTCTTTTTCTGTTGCCATTCGCAATGTGTTATTCTTCTGTTAATCGATATTATCATTATTTCGTATTATTCCATTCAAGCTCTAATTTAATGATTAAATAATCTTAGTATAGACATTGGTTCTATCTTCGCCATATTCTAACAATCTTGTATGCATACTAATGTACTGAATAAGACACAAAATAAATATTTCTAAAAGTTAGAAAGTAGTTTGATCACGATTTTATATAACTTATACTACCGTTATGAAAAATCACAAAAGATTATCTTTCAAATGGATCGTATAAACTTTTATCTGCGCAAAAAAGGAGGCGAGCTTTTTGCGAATGCTCATAAAAATATTCGAACTATTGAAAAGCAATGATTGTAGAAGTTTTCGCAACGTTCCCAGGGAATAGAAAAGCGAAAAAAATGCCATACTTCATAATGAAAGGGATATAATCATGCATGTTTTGTATTTTCATCGTTTAAAATGAAAGTTTCACGAATTACATTTCATGATTTTGATTTCTAATCAAGATCATTATAATGAAAATGATTAGAAATAAAAATCATGAAACAAGAGTGGTAAAAATTTTGATTTTAATCAATGAAAATAAGAAACATGCATGATTATATCCTTTTCATCATGGAAAACGCCATTTTTTAAATTTTTTTTACCTGAGAGCCACCATTTGTTTTCATTTTTTTATTCTACGGGTATTAAATCTAAATGATTGCTACAACATATAATGGGGAAGAGGGAACAAGCTGAAAAATCTTGACTCAAACCTATGATCACTGTTAGTTCCTTCGCAAATATATGTGAGTTTTACAAAACTTAAAAGCATAATATTTAGAAGAGAAATTAGAAATTACAGATTATAAAATAAGATAGCCGTTGATATTAATGATTTCCTATTGTTTGTTGCTGTGGGAAGGGTGTGGGTGATGTTTTTCCCAGCATCTGATTACTATAAGAAAAATTGAGGAGCAGTAAGACTTGAACTTAAACTTGTATTTACTAAATTCTTCGAAAATAATTGTGAGTATCGAAAAAATCGCGAAAATACGAGAGTCATAATACAAGACCCCCCTAAAAAAATTTTCCGCTTGAACATAATACAAGACCCTGGCTCTTTTAATATGAGGGGGGTTTACTCTTCTCGGTTATTCTTCATCAATTATCGATATCAGAAAAACGTCCCGATATATGTTTGACATTCATTCAAGTTTGATCAAGATAGTTAAAATCGAACGAAAGGTTTGTCAAATATCATTCTTATGATCGCCTAAATCGAATATGATCAGGATCAATTTCAACAATCTTTCATTCAATATTACACAAACTTCGAAAAAATGAATTTTGTATCTTAAACAATCGCAATCTATCTCAAGATGAAGTTGAATAATATTATGTATTTTTTTTCAATATTATCATTCGTTTCACCACTATCAATAACCTCTTCAGAAAGTATGAGAGAGAGACTGTCAAGTGTGTAATTACCATAGGAGCATTCTTGGAAATTTGCTTTACGATTATTTCCTCAAGAAGTTTCTTGTAAAATATTTTATGTAAGCGTCTCAACTCTATTAGTACATATTAACCGTTGAGCTCAATTTTTTCTGAAGTACTTGAGGCAATTTGGAATGGCGACTTTTTTCCGCTTTTTAAGTACATTTATTTTTCGATTAAAAAATTTTAGCGGGATTGGTCAACAGCTATGGAGTAAAGTGCAAGACATGAGTTTGATTCTTTTTACCACTTGTACTCACTTCATTGATTGTCAGCAATCATTTTTTTCAATGTTCAAAAACCATCACTTTCTAATTCTACGGTTGAAACCAATAGAGAAATTATTATGCTCATGGTATTTGTTCACTAATACTGAAGACGTCAGATTATAGAAGAATACGAAAAGCCATCATAAAAATCTTTTAAATGATAGTCAGTAGTTTCAGGTAAGATACACATGGATTTTTAAAAAAAAGTCAGCACAATTGCGAGCATTGTCATTGCTGATGGCTTTAGAAAATGCTGACTACTACAAATGACCACGACTATGCTAGTGTTTTCGTAGGAAGAGACATACTTCGTTATGTAATAGGATACATCGCAGCTTGAGCAACTAATAGCAGTTACTCTTGAAGTCGATAACGAGTATGTGCAAATACAAGCACTACTGTCGATGGAAACGACACATGCTCCGGGGTAGATCGTCAGTGGTGAATGCAAACGATTTGGTGGCTCCTCCCTCTTCAGGTATCGCTTGCAAATTATACACAAAATACATTTGTAATGAAATATTCTTTAGTCACACTAAAACTGATGTCTCTGATTTTGCTTCTATACTATCTTCATAGCTCATTTTTACTTCAATGCCATCGAAAATCAGTTTTTTTTTGGCTGAAACGTTATTTTCAAGTTGCTTGTGTTTGTCCATTAGACAGAATTCTATTTTCTTTCCTATTCCTTGCTGCATCACTTCATGATTTACACTTTATTAAAACAGATAGTTTCATGTGACTTTACATACGTTTTAATATGAAAACAAAAAGTTATAGATAACGTGATTAAATGTCATATTGGAATTTCCACGAAACTCATTTTTCTTCTACAGTACTGCGATAGAGTTAAACCGAATCATCGACAAGTCAGATACGATCTATAGAAGGGATACGATCAATGGAATTGAATAGTCTTTATCGGGTTGTATGCTCTGATTGTTGATTTGATTCAAGACTGAAAGGAGCCTTAGTTTATGGCAAGCAGTAATAAATTCGAGGATTTGTATTTAATTGGAATTCTCATGAATATTTACAGAATATTTATAAATACGTCTATATATACAATAAATTATTGAAATATGAATGCATCTAAAGTGTATCATCACGAAAGGCAGTTAAGTCCATTGACTTTTTAAATGAATTGTAGTATCAGATCAGAAGCATTCTTTGATAATATGTTATGACTGGAATTAATTGATTGTTTCTTGATTGAAAAAATATGTCAACACTTTCTAACTTTCTACAAGTTGGCCAAGATTAATGATTGAAATGATGCAAATGAAAAGTTTTTTAAAACTCCGACATGTCATTGCCAATAACTTAGTAACTTCAAAAGCATTCCATTGTTTCCTTCTTTTAGCTATAAACAAAATAGTTTTGATACAACCTTACAGACAAAAAATATCTTGTTGATCTGTTGAGTACGCCATCTATAAGATTATTTGGTTCGTTCTTGTGTTCGTCCATTTCTGAAAGATAGGTATTGTCATGATTGTGTTCTCTATAACTTACTGTTATTTTCTTATTCTTTTCTGTTACATTCGTACTCGCTCGCATATTACAGTCATGGTCAATGAGGACATTCAGAATTTGGCTATTTACTGTGTTTATGTACGAAATCATACGGAAAGTGGCACATTTCAAGGAGTCATCAATGATTTGCCTCGGTTTTTGTTAAATCTATTTTGTCTTCTTCTCCTCTAAGTGAATATTATCTTTGTATAGAATAGCCAGAATGGGAATTGACTTGGTATGGTTTTTACCTATTCATCCGATTGGTATGACAAATCGCAAAGGCACATTTGGTTCACCTTATTCAATAGATGATTTCCGTGGTGTGAATCCACAATATGGTACTATGGATGATTTTCATCGTTTAGTCTCAGAAATTCATCAATTAGGAATGCGATTGATGATTGATATAGTCTTTCGACACACTAGTCATGATTGTACATGGGTTAAAGATCATCCTGAATGGTATGCGAGAGATGAGAAGGTTAGAATTTCGACAATATTTCTTGTTTCATCTAATGAAAACACCTTGATAGGGTAATCCTATTGCATTAGTACCTGAATGGACTGATATTTTGGATTTGAAATTCGAAGGAAACGAAGAAACTTTGTGGCCGGAGCTGATTGATACTTTGAAATTTTGGTGCGAAAATGGTGTAGATGGATTTCGAACGGATGTCGCTTGTTGTATTCCAATGGAATTTTGGTATAGAATATATTAAAACATTCTTCTATTGTAATCTTTTGTTAGTGATTCAGGCATCGAGCTAGACGTGCTGTATCCGAAGTTAATTCTCGTTGTATTTGGTTGGCTGAATCAGTTTGGTTTACTGCTATTGAAGGATATCGTGCTATAGATGGATTGGTCAATACAGATGCAGAACTATATCAAACATACGACTTGTGTTATGACTACGACGTCTATGTAGCATGGCGTGCTGCAGTACAAGGAGCCATTCCAATCAAATCTTATCTTGAACTTGTACGTCTTCAGTCAGTTATTTATCCAAAAGGTTTTGTGAAGATGAGATTTGTTGAAAATCACGATCAAGATCGGGTTGCATATGTTTGTCGGAACAATCGATTCAAAGCACTTGCATGGACAGGTTAGTTGAAATTTTATTCGATTTTGTTTTCGAAATTTTGACCTATCTTATATAATAGAGAGTGGATCTATTGAGGCAAACTTTTCTTTGATACAATATAAAATAATAGGTCATACTTGTTTCATATCTAAACTAGAAAAACTGATTTCATCAAACAGCGTCATCATTTATTCAACAAACTACAATTCGAATTATGTTGCTTGAGAAAACCTAAAAAAGAATGTAAGTATTCAGTTGATGTTTAGTCATAAAAAGTGGTCTGTAGTCTTATAGACTTTCTCAATCAACTAATTTTTCAATATCTGTTTATGCTAATCTGATGAAAGAATTTTTTTTTTAAATAACTTCTGACAAAATGTGAGGAAGACTATTGACTATTTCGATATTTGTTATTGTTTCATAAAAATACTTTTCTCTTTCTATTTCTTAGAATTTACTTTTATTATTATTTCATGACGTTTCGTCAGACTATTTCATTGTAAACTGACGTGCAGAATAAAATAGCAAGTACATATCATTGTACAACCAAGTAGTCTGACGAAATCAATGTCGTTGACGGAACGTCACAAAATAATGAAACGAAAAAAGATTCTTAAGAAATAGGAAGAGCAAAAGACATTTGACCCTGTGCAAATCATTGAATTCGAAAAGATTGAAAATGAGTGTTGAAGTTTAGAGCGAGAAAAGCGAACCCCTACTCTGCCTCATAGACCGTAGCAGACAGGTTGCCATACAAGTCTGGTTGTTTGGACCGTTAAATTTTGGATTTTTGGACCGTGGAATTAAAGTTTTTTGAATCATGTAGTTTTCGATTTTCGGATTTGGAATCGGTTTGAAATTCTGAAATTGAAAAAAATTGTTCTCCTGTAATGCGATATATTAGCCACCATTAAAGATTGTCAAAAAGACTGAGAGAAGATTTTCCGTGGATCTTTTGACGAATTGAGAAGAATATTAAAAACGTTTCCACGTTCATGTGAAATAGTTCTATATTGTTTCACATTTTAATCTTGTAGCCATTGCACTGAAAACTTTTATCTCAGAATCCTTTGTATAAATTCATTGAGTTCAACGATGGATTGGTTTTCTTTCTATTTGAATGTTCCATTTTGCGTGTCAAATTTACAAAAAAAAAACAAACTATTTCGAACAGAATAATTCCAATTTGAATGAAAATGAAGAGGTCAAATTTTAGTACCTCAAAAGGTAAAAATTATGCATTACTAAGTAGTTTAATTATTCAACAAACCAACAAAAGCTTTTTACTAATCTAGTCTTTTCATTTTATCATCAAACTTTACTTTCTCATTTGAATAGTTTTTTTTTCTTTAGCATTCAATGCTTTCAATAAGGGATGTTTCTTGGTACATGCCGGTCAAGAAACCGAACAAACAAAAGTCTCATCATTGTTCGAAAAAGATTGGGTCGATTGTAGACAAGTACATCCACTTGAAGAATTTACACGTAAATTGATTCAAATAAAAAAACATCCAGTAATCAAAGCGAAAGGCGCTAGGTCTAGCAAATGAAACTAAATTGCATTTTAAACACTGTGTTGCCTTTTTTCTTAGATTAACATTGACTCATCATAGTCCATGTATTGTGGCGGTATGGGAAGTAACATCAGCTCGTGAAGGTCTCATTGGTCTATTCAATGTCGCACAAGAAAGTAATGATGAACAATTTGTTCAAATTTCGAATTTGCCTGCTGGAAATTATGAAAACTTGTTTGTTGATTTGGGAGTAAACGAACTTCTCAAAGATGAATCTCGCATAATATCAGTGAATAATAATGGCAAGTTACGTGTTCCCATAGTAGCTACTATTTTTCATTATACCGGTATTCTTCTTCGTCCTCAAACATTCTACAGTGAGATATTCGATTTTGATTACAGAAACACATAAAAACGATATATGTATTAATCTTGCTTTATTTTTATTGTACTCGAGCGTAGATTTTTTATTATCAAAATAAAAGAACAAAAGAGTATCAGTTGTTTTTCTTTTCATGTCAGAAGATTCGAACAAGCTGGTTTCAATAGCAGTACTCTCGTATTTTCGTATTCACATGTAAAGTATCGATATTAGGAGAATGAGATACGATTGAGATTGATCTGAATGATGCACATGTCAACAGTCGAATATGTGATCAAACAAAAGATAGAAACAGAAAAAAATTAAATGTCTTTTCAAATGACATTTTCGTTCAGTTTGATTTGAAATGAAAAGAAGAAACAATATAATAGAAGATTTTTATTTCGAACTTCTTTGTATCTTGTAGGTCGTGTACGCAGAAATTTTCTAAAGAAGTGCCCAAACTTCTAAGGAGAGAGCTCGTAATGTTGTGGGTGTGGGTGCAGATGTATTGCTGAAGAAAAGAACAATATCAAAACGCACACCCATCCATACCCCATATCCAATACGGAATTTCACTTTTTCGAAGTGTCAGGAAGCTGAAATCGAATCAGAGAAGAAAAGATGAAATAAAGTTCTTTACAGACAAACATCAAAAAAGATTCCAACCGAAATAACCGACAGTGCACTAAACAAAATAACGAACTGTTTTTGCATAAATATATTGAAGTTGTTCTCTTGTCTACGATTCATTAAGTCGTTCCTCTCACTCATTACGATTTAGATATATATTTTGATCGTTCAATGTTTAATAATTGGACTGAATAGTCTAGGGTTTGTAGAACGCTATTCAATTCGTTTTGTCTGTGGGTCTGCGTGAAACACACTTGTTAAACGAATGTCTATCTGTTTAGACTATTGCTTTTAAATGCATTTATGAGAATGAGGCATTTCGATATAAACGAAAAGATATAGATATAGGTGTTGATTTCGTCTTCATCCACAATGAGATCCACACTCATACCCTTAGCACTAACTATTAAATCAACGTGCAAAGGATGCGATACGAATTTCATACAAATCAAGTGTAGTTCACTATGGGTTCTCATTGACAAACATAAAATGTGATCATGTTTCTGTAGATAGTCAAATTTCAAGAGAAATCGGCTGTCTTTTGAAAGTGATGTACTAGATTAGATTTCCTACATGGTAGAAATCGAATACATCAGAATGAAATAATACCGATGAATTCAAAGGTTATGATACTGCTTCCACTAAAAATCATTTGTTGGTTCGAAAGATCTGAATAATAGTCTCACACTCATATTTGATCAACGAATGCTACTAAAAAACCATTAACCAAGTGAAGCTACTGAGAAATAAAATTAGAACATGTCATGTAGCATGATTATCATAGTATGAACTATTTCTTCTGAAATCATTGAAATAGTCTATTTATCATTCTTTTCCGCTTGCCGTCGTTCGTGATCAGTTGTCAGATATTGCTAAGAACGTGAGAAATTTATTTTGAAGATTAAATTACTTTGAAATTTGTTCATAACAACATTCTTTATACTCTCAAACAACACGTTCATTTCTCCATTGACAACTGGCTATCATCTTCCTTACAACAGTGAAAATGTTTAGAGACTAAAAAAAAATTATCAAAAGCCTACGTTATTTAAGCGTTCGCACGGGTTGTATTGTTATGTCATTATGGGTGCAACTGGCTTTCTGATTCTACTGTTGTTTATCAAAAAACTTTCGGGTAAAATTTCCTGCATTATTTTGTTCAAAGAGAGTAATTCCTATTTTATTGCATACCAGTCGAGCATCGATCTATTATTGATTGCAGTTTGGTAAGGTATTGGAGCAGACAACAAAATATAGTTATGAGACAAAAATACTAGATTAATAAAAACTTGTCGAGAACAATACCAAGCTAAAATTTCAATTGATTTCAAGTATTAGCTTTATCTACTGTGTTGTTAGTTTTCGCCGACGATCTCGAACTTGAAATTGCATGTTTTCTAAAATACCTCAATTATTATTAATTCAAAGAGATTCAAATCCTACTACCTTTTCAGTACCTATAAAGACAAGAAACATATGCCTGATATCTAACATCATAGTGTACCGCTTTCCATAGATTCTATAATACAGTGAGATGATTCACATATGGGATGGACAATGGCTCGTTTTTTGTTTCGTATTGGTTGAAGTCTCTGCACCAGTACATATTTAGTATGAATCCTCAAGATATAACAAACTCTCCAATCATAAGTATAGGTTTGTTGTCATTATTTTTCGGAAATGATTACCGTGGTGTCTTAATAAATAAAAGATATTAGATAAAATGTTTTGCTGAATCATTTAGCAATTCTTGTTGCTATAAAATCGTCACAGGTTTGCGATTAACCGTCATTTTTCCAATATATCAATTAATCATTCAAACTGAGGCAATTTTTACGAGATGGATGTGCATGAAAGGACGAACAGAAAATAGCAAATGAATGGTTTTTTTCTGATTTATTATCACATAAGAGAAATTTTTTCAAGGTGACAAGAAAGAAAAAGGATTTGTATGTACAATGATCTCTTTAATTATCGTCAATAGAATAGTCAACTAATATTTTCAAAGCTGGAAAAGTTTCACATATAGAGTAAATGATTAGGACGCTTTCTTTTTTTTTCTTTCTTAGCTAAATCGTACAATCAGCCTAAAATCAGCTTGAACGCATCTTGGAATTTGAACGCAACAACATTTACCAATGAAGACTTGGTTGGCCGGCAACCTGTTGGCATCCATATCAATTCAGATGATTCTATATATGTAGCTGATCATCAGAACGGTTATATTCTAGTATGGAATAACGGATCGTCGACTTCAACTAGAAATATCTCAGGAAACTTGATCAATCCATGGAGTCTCTTTGTCATGATAAATGGCGATATATATGTCGACAATGGTCATTCGAATAATCGTGTTGATAAATGGATGTTCAATACGACCAATAGTGAACCTGTGATGACAGTTCATGGCTCATGTACTGGACTCTTCGTTGATAATGTCAACAATACTCTTTATTGCTCTTCAGCAAGTCAACATCATGTTGTCAAGTTAGAACTTAACAATGAAAACAGGGTACCTATTCTTGTAGCTGGAACAGGTTGTCCCGGGCCCGTGATCGATACTCTTGATCGTCCACATGGAATTTTTGTCGATGCCAATCTCTACTTGTACGTGGCAGATACTAATAATAATCGAATTCAACGGTTTGCACCCGGCCAATTCGATGCGATCACAATGGCAGGCTTTGGAGCACCTGCATATTTCTTACTCAATAGGCCTACAAGTGTCGTGCTTGATGCCGATGGCTATTTGTTCATTGTGGAAAGTCGAAATCATCGGATAATCCGATCGCTACCGAACGGATTCCAATGTTTAGCTGGGTGCTCAGGTGAAAGTGGAGCATTGCCGAACCAATTGCAAAGTCCACAAACAATGGCTTTCGACAGTGTTGGCAATATACTTGTCACGGACATGGACAATCACAGAATTCAAAAGTTTATTCTGATTACTGAGACAAGAGGTACATCTGTTTACTTTGATTGGTTTAGAAGGAAAACCGTTCATATGACCTACACTATTAGAAAGTGCTTCATATTGACACAGAAGACTAGTTTTTTTACGTTTCATATCAAAAGTTTTCTCTCACGAATGGTATATCAAAGAATCTTTAAGTTTTCGTATTTGAATAGCGAAATCAATTTTAAGCACCATGTAATCAAGAATCGTTTTTTTCTCAGGTTTAGCACGGGGCTTTTAGAGTTCGCCTCGTGCATCCAGAAAAGAGCTTTGGAATGCAGTTGTGTGAAGTTTGTAAGATGAGCGAAGCCGTTTTGTGTTGGAAGTCTCAGTAAACATACAAATATAGAGTAATATACGAGGCCCAATAAGAAATAAGTGAAGGAAGCAATAAATTATTCGTTTAATTTATATCATTTTTGTGAGAAAGATTGTCTATTTGCTACAGCGAAAAAGAGTGAGACTAAAACTTAGAAAACTTAATGACGTTCTCTTATAGTATTCCTATGAGGAGATTATCCTTTTTCTCAACATTCCACGTTGAAGGATTATTTCTGATGTAGAAGTATCACTTATTCTCAAATATAGCTATTGATGTAGAAGAGATCTTTAAAAAACCATTGAACGGGAGTCTCGACCATCGAACACATTATTAATCGCTCTATCAAGTCGCAACATGGTATGGCAAGGTTACATAGTAAAAGGGCTTCAATCCCATGTCAATAGGTTTGAAAGTAAATACGCTCTACAAACTGCCCAGAACTAGTCCACCAAAACTGTACTAGAATTCGGTTGACCAGAAATCATCAGAAATCAAGGGAATGTATCCAAAGTCAACGAAATTGACAGAAATCGTTGGCAGAAAAGAAAGAAAATCATCCATTTCGATCACTGAAATAGTAGACTTGGGTTGGATTAATATCACATAGTAGTGTTTTGTCGATTTTGTAGCTTCTCAATTTAGTTGATATCCGACGCGTTCGGTGGTCAGACAATTGTTCTGGGTACTTTCTTGAATAGAAATTGTTTCATTCACTCGACTTCTTTATTTGACATTAAGAACTTGCCGTAATCATCAACTTAGACAAAATCAGCTTTTAGAACTCTTGAACGGATAAAAGCTGACTAAACTCATCAGAGTGAAGCCGACCAACTTCACAATCATCTGTTTATTCTTTAGAATTCGCTTGATCGCTTTCCCAGAACTCTTCAAATATCGACAGATCGTATTTCTGTATAGTTATTAGAAGGTTTTGGCGATGAATAATTATTCGACTCTAGTCAAGATTCTTGTGTTAAGTAGATCACTGAAAATGTGCATCTTTCTGCTTCTGTCCCAACGTTTACCGATAGAAGAAGGAGATGAAGATGCAACGCACTATATACTACTGATATTTCGTACAAGTTCCCTTAGGCGTCCCCATTGAGTATTTGGAAAAATTACCTTTTCATAGGTCAATACAGTGAATTTTCTATTTTACAGCTGTCTATTAGAAGAGTCAATAGAAGATCTAGAACTTTAGACACGTCTCAGACTCTTAGTTTTACCTGTTAAAGAAATCTAGACATTTCGTTGTTGGTGTTTCAGTCAATTTTACGAAAGAAAATTGCTATTGACTGTTGGAGTATATTGCGACAAAAGAGAATCATCGTTTTCCTTACGATCTGCCTCAAGATAAAGAACAAATACGTCGAGAATCTATTCGTTCGATTCAATTCCGAACTATCATACATTTGATTTGCATGGAAACGAAATTTAGACTTCAAAAACAAAGATTTTGGAAGGCCTTCATATATTTTGAGAAAGCTGTGCTTTTTGATGTTCAATAAGAGTAGATTTCTACTGTACCGAACAAGTTTCTTTCAGGTCTACAGATTCCTTGAGCTGAATGCTAATTTTTCTCTAAACCTTAGTAAGGGTTAGGAACTAATTACAAATTGCTTCGCGTTACAATGAAAAACAATTCTTATCGATTTTCTTTGTTTTCATGAAATAGGGACATCGAGTACCACCACTATTACGGCTGCCAGCACCATCATTACGACTGCTACCATCGACGCCATCACTAGCACCAGTAAGATATACGAACAAGTTAGTTTTGGCTATGCATAGACTGAATCGGTTCAAATTACGTAGAGCTGCACAACGAAATATGAAAATGGGTCTGTTTCTATGTAACGATAAAATCAAGATCCGGATTTTCTCATACCCACACTCTGCCCAAGTGGCAGTGGTATATATGTTATTTGCCATATGCATTATCCATCACAACAAATTTTGCTAGAGTGCGAATGAACATGAGTCGGCAATAACAGGAATGAGAGGATATATGTCAACATGAGGCTACATATATCAGCATGGGAGAGTGAAAGAGCATCAATGATCAACGCTGCGCGACTATGAGCGTCAGCTGGTGAGGTTGTGCATTAGAATGTGGCTGTAACCATGGATTTATGTCTCTGCAGTAATAAGATCGAGACCCAGTACTCCCATATCCTCATTAAATTTGAAACAGAAGGATGTGAGTGTGACAAGGTCTGTTCCTCGGTCTTACCATCATAGAGACGCATATCCACCCTAAGCTGCATGAATTCCAAAGTAGTTCACTCGAAAAAATTTCCAAGATGATTTGATGCTGTCTTATATCGTTTCCATTTCGTCTATAGGATTTAACCTGTGGTTTACTGCGAGTGGATTTGTTTGGGTGTGTGGATGTGAAGTTTGGCCAATCTGCCGTTTATGTAGCAAAGAGTATTCTCATTCTTCCAGGCACAGATAAAATGCACAAAACATTGATACACGGCCTCGCTCGGGATACTCACATATGTGGTTAAGTGTGGAATTATGTGGTGTTATCTGTTGTAATATTAAAATCAAAGCCGCATTAAAGTTAAAAATACCATTGAGCTTCTTTTTCTTTCGATACCTTTCATTTCTGAATTTGATGTCCACAAAAAATGAGAGAGCAGAACGAAGTAGACAAAAAAGTTTTTTTTTATCTGTACATTATTATCCCTGGACTGAGGGACCAGAATCTGAATATGGTAATTATATTATTTTCTCTGAGTATCTGTCTGTAACAGTAGTTTGAAACCACCACCTGTCTCTCACGACTATGTGTTCCTTTTCACCTTCCTAGCTATAAGGTACTTGACCAGCAAACATACCATTATGTGCTTCGGTGGAAGTTATTTTTCTGAATATAATCGAAGTAGTCAGTAATGAACTCACTTTGAGTGTTTGTTTCCCCTTGCGAAATAATGAAACCAAGACAAGATCATTAAGCATTTATATCATTCGAGAGCCTTCCTGACCGATCTGACCGATAATGAGCGAAGTTGCACATTGATCATATAATGTGGTAACGGCTGACATCATGGATCTTGAGCATATTGTCTGAACTGAAATGATAGAAGTCTAAACAGATGAAAAATGTAAGATTACATCGAAGTTATGCGTTTTTCCCTTCCTTCAGGCTCTATCGACGGAGAGGGAGATTACTGGATACGTTTCTATAGCAATGAGAAAAGGCGCGCCAGTAATAACAATACTTAGATGTTTCTGGAACTTTCTAGAATCTTCCAAAGCATTTTACGAATCTTAGATTTCTAATATAAATTCTAACCGCAGTATAAATATTTCAGGTTTCAGTATTTAATGCGGCAAAAAGATTGTATTGTAGCTGTGAATTAGTATGGCGATGATATTATTAATCTAGCAGAGTAAGAAAAGGACGGATAAAGAAAAATTTGAATTAGTCGAATTCTAAGTTTAGGCAAAACTCAACAGTATATGCCAAAGCCAGTCAAGAGAAAAGATAATGTGCGCGCAGAAGCTTACTTATTGAATAAAATAATATTTACCATTTTCTACGGTATGTATCGTGTATATTATCATTAGAAGAAAAGAAATTATGTGTCGAAGATGTATCTGACAATATAGATAAGTTTTATCAGTATAATAATGTTAAATAAATCTAATGAATTGATACAAGAGTAATTATAAGGGTGGTTGTGGGTGTGAGAGTGAGTATAGAATGTGATCAAACCCACACCCACATTCACACCCAATAACAACCACAGTAATATTCTTTTTAGTTTGTAACCGCGTGTAGAGCCCTCTTTAGGTTTTAAAAAACCTTTTGTTTAGAATGTGTGAGAAAAGGACGCTCTCAAGTAAATGCTCGAAATTTATAATTAGTGTTCTTGAATAAAAATGTTTCATTCGTAGCAGTGTGCTGTGCGATAGGGGAAGATTTTCGATAACGATAAGGATTTATTTCGTTTTTTCATTCATTGTAGGGATGCCCAACATTCCGGCCAATGCTCGATGGTTACAAAATGGAGAAACTGTTGCAGCAGGAAATGGACGCGGGAATGCTACCAATCAACTCTATTACCCTTACGGCTTATTCGTTGCTGATAATCAAACAGTGATCATCGCTGACAATGGCAATCATCGTATCGTCGAGTGGAAAATAGGCGATACGAAAAGACAAGTGATAGCCGGTGGCCATGATGAAGGAAATCGATTGGATCAATTGAAACGACCGACTGATGTGCTAATTGACAAAGAGACGGATACTATCATTATCTGTGATAGAGGAAACCAACGAGTTACCCGATGGTCTCGTGCTATTGGCACTACTCATGGAGAAATTATTCTCGACAACATTGATTGTTTCGGATTAGCCATAGATGATGAGAGATTTCTCTATATCTCTGACGCTGAAAAAGATGAAGTAAGACGATATAAAATGGGAGACACGAATGGAACTCTCGTGGCTGGTGGCCATGGAAAAGGTGATGGTCTCAATCAACTTAATTTTCCAACTTACATATTTATTGCTTCACAACAGAGTGTCTACGTCTCCGACGAACATAATCATCGTGTAATGAAATGGAATAATGGTGCAACAGAAGGAATTATCGTTGCTGGAGGTCAAGGCCAAGGGCAATCTCCGACACAATTATCGTATCCTGAAGGATTGTTCGCCGATACATTAGATGCCATCTACGTGGCAGACTACGGGAATCATCGAGTGATGCGTTGGCTTAAAGGAGCGACACAGGGCACTGTCATTGTGGGTGGAAATGGTCAAGGATTAGCACCGAACCAGGTGAACCGGCCCAGGGGTTTTTCTTTCGATCGACATGGTAATCTCTATGTTGTTGAGTATGAAAATCACAGAGTAAAACGTTTTTATATTGAATAGACTGATTTTGATTATTTCTTGTCTTTCTATTGAATAAATAAAGATGACTGGAAAAAGAAATCCTGTATTCTCTCATGTGCAAATATAAACTCAAAATTCAAAAACTGTTCTGTTCAATTTCGTTCATTTTTCTCAATTTAAATTGTTAGATTAGAGTATAATCTTAAGTCTCACATTCTGGGTGTGGATATCGGTGCGGCTGTGGGTTTGAGTCTCTTCTTAAACCATGCTCACACCCACATCCTCGATGAGATTTGAAAGGTCGCCGCAAACAGAAAGAATTGATAAAAAGTTGTTGTCGCTTGCAAATCTCGTTTGTTCGCAGTGGAATGATACTAATGATTATTTTTGTAGAATGATGTAGAAATCGACATGTAGGCAGCACCTATTTACACTGTTACTTTCATGATGTGTTAAATAAAATGAATCCCTTCGATCGCTTTCAAATTATGCACGAAAGGATAGAATTATTAAATGCTTATATATGTATTTTTTACGTGCGTCACCATCGTTTGTGACGTGGTTCGAAAGTAAACATTACAACACTGGGCAGGCTTCTACCAAGCATATATATATATATATATACATACATACGAGCATACGCACGGAATTACATTTTTTCTCTCCTATCAAGAACGGTATTGCGATCATAAAGTAAGAAAAAATAGGTTATAACTTATTAGGCGACCATATTGCATGTGCCTTCAAAAAAGAAAATAGACAATTACACAATAGGAGATTTATTCGCTAAATAGACTACAATATAAATTTATACCTATTTTTAACGAGATTCAGCGAGATTACATGGAGAACAAGCCAAAGAAAAATTGACCGAAAATTGATTATAGTATTTCCTAAATCCAAAAATACAGCACCATAAATATTTGTAAACGATACAATACGATGAAAACCAATGTCATTACGTTGCCGTTTTATGTAAGCTCGTAAAAGAGGGTCAAAGATAGGTATCTTAAAGTCAATCATCTATCTTAATAATCCAGTAGTAGACTTCGGTTTCGTAGTTACATTTGTCACAACCTCTCACAAGTAGAGCCTGCCGGTTCGAAATTGTTGAACTTGAGCCAGAACCCAGTCCCAAGTACTACTCTGTATACTTGATGAATTTTTTTACTCCGCATTCATACACCGATAAGTATGAAGCAAAACTGACATCATACACAACTTCCACATGTGCAAAAACAGTAAGTGAGCGATGTCGTCTTCGTAAATCACCGTATTTTTTTGTATTTGACACGAAACTAAACAACCATCATGCACAGCAATGTAAATCGCTTTATCTCTCGCATACGGTCATTTGCAACAGCACTTGTTTGATCTAGATGCTCAGAACAGTTGCCAAATAGTTACCTGTCAAAGAGTTTTTTTTGATGAGGCGGGATGGTGGTGTGGGTGTATGTAGTGAAGAAACGAGGCGAGTTTTTACCAGATAGACGATGATGTTGCATTGGTCGGGTGAGTTTTAGCTGCTCGGCAGATTTCTAATGTAGATCGAGTGTGAAGAAGCGGATAACGATTTAATCGAAGAGTAAACAAATTAAGAAGTTGATAAAATGCGCGAACATTTATGAATACTCATTAGAAAAACCAAACTTGAATCTGATCATACAAACATGTGGAAGTCGTTGCATTATACACATAAACATCGCTTTTGTGTTGTTCTTCTAAGAGAACTCTAAAATGTTCGACACCAGTCGTCTATAGTAGTCAGATCATAGACCCTCTCTTAGATTATCTAGAAAGAAGAATATGCTAATAAGAATCAATTGAACAAGTGTTTTTTAAAAACTATTATATTTCTCACTCTGACCCTCAAGTCATTATGTATAAGTAGTGGAGCATTTTTCGAGGTTTTGGGGAAGAGTAATTGGCATGATTGGTTTTATACGGAATTCTACTAGATGTAGCACAATCTTTATAGATATTGTGTCTGAATATACTCAGTCAATATATGAAAATTAGTAATTTAGAATATAATATTTGAATGCACTTAGTCATTTGATGATGATCGTTTATTTTAAATGTGTTCTAACAAATTAAGTCTTGCAATGTCATTTGAATTGTTTGATCGAAGTTAGTACAAAATCTCTTTCGCAAGCAATCATCTTAAACTTCTGCAAAACTTTCTAATCTATACACATCAAATGTTGAGTAGTCTCTGATGTGAGCTGTATTTTAGACGCTGAAATTAATATATACTCATATGTTACAAGTATTGTTCCTGATCAATATATTTATGGTTTGTGTTTGGGCACAAACTTTTTTTTTTCATGTAATTCAATGTATCCAAATGGTAGTATTAACGCTACAACATTCTCACCTGGTTGCAATCAGTTCGATTCATTTACCAATCAAGCTCCCACTTACTCTGAGGACTGGTGAGTGAGATGCAGCTACAAAACAAAGTGTACAATGCATTTTTTATAGTCTATACCTTAATGTGTGGGCTCCAGTCAAGGCTACTAATAAATCTTTACTTCGAGTGAAAGTTTGGATTTATGGTGGAGGTGGTTATGTAGGTTCGACCTCTGATCCATTATATAATGGATGTGGAATAGCTACAAATGCGATTGTCGTTTCAAAGAATTATCGACTCGGTCCTCTTGGCTGGCTCACTTTAGGACCTCCGGCAAGCTTTACAGGCAACTATGGTGTCCTTGACGTTTTCATGGCATTAAAATGGGTTCAAGAAAATATTGCTTCATTTGGTGGCAATAATGTATGAATAATTTCATCAAGTGTTAACTAGTAGTTACATAGGACATTATTAAAATTAGCAGAAACTTCACAAATTCACTCTACTACTAAGAAATAGCCTAGTATTATTTTATCAACCAACATGATGTATCCAGAGAATCGATTTTTATGAATTAGTCAATCTATCATCAAGACTTAGCCTTTTCACTAGATTGCTTTTTTTGGAGAAAAACGGTTAGCTAGTTAATAGAAGTGACATTTGAATTTTCTTCGAGTAAGGCTGTAAAATTTAATTTGAAGTTCTTCGAATGTTAAATACATTCAGTTTCTCGCCTCAAAATCTGACTTATGAAAAGCACGCGATTTCAGTATTCGACATAAGTTTCATTTGTTCGAACAATACTATTATCTTCATGACGTTATAGACAATTTGAAAGTATATTAACTCCTGAATTATCAGCTTTCATGAAAAGTTTGAGTCATCATCCTATTAAAATGTTTCAAAAGGTTCCTCCGATAGTTTGGTTTACTCAGTCATTATATACACTCCCGAATCTTCTATTTCATGAAGAGGGCGATGAAAAATTATTATACTCTAGACATGTTTAACTATGCATGATACTACTACTCTGTCAACTTCACCTATCATTTTGACATGTATAACATAGAAAACTGTCCTTCTCTTTGGTCAATCGGCGGGTGGAACGATGGCTTACATTATCAGTATTCTTCCTCAAGCTTCTGATCTTTTCTCAAGTGTCATCTCAGAATCAGGCGCTGGAAGGCTTCTGACAACGACCGAGCAACAGATTGAAAACGGTAATCAGCTCGTTGAAGCTCTTGGCTGCTCCGATGCCAGTGATGTAAGTATCTTTAGTCTTTTTGTCTTGCAGAAATAAAGTAGGAATCAGGTAGCGGAATGTCTTCGTATGAAATCACCTGATCAAATCAATCAAGCAACACCTCAAAATGCCCCTATATACGTTTCCTTACCAACTAAATTTTATGCACATGTCGATGGATATGTAATACCTGTTCAACCAATCACCACTTCACCAATAGTTCCATTCATGGCGGGAACATGTAAGTATCTGTAGAACTTTCAAGCAAGTTCTTTCTTTTTATTTCACTCCTTTCCTGTTCAAGAAATAGGAGGCCATGATCCAAAAGCTCTAGAAATGTGTTTGCTTTCTCAAACCATCTTTAATATTTCAATATAAGAGTATGATCGAGTATTCAAATACAGAAGATTAGATTAGAACATTTTTATTCCTGTGAAAATATTATTTATTTTTAGATATTTTTAGCTTTCTAAGCAAAAAATTCGTTTTTCACGGTCCATAATAATGTCGTAGTTCACATTAAGAAAGGTTTGAGCCAATACTTACCTATTTTGTCCAAGTGTAGAGATAGTTATTAAAATAAAAGTGATCTGACTGGTAGCGACTAATGTTTACATTTCGATAATATTAGTAATTACTTTAAAGTTCTTTATATAAAAGCACATCTTTTTAAAAGGTACCAGGGAAGGTATGTTAGTCACTGTTGCGTCTTTTCGCAATCCTCTTACCACCAATTCTGCTGACTACAATAACTACCTAAATATTGCTTTCGGCCATACCCTTGTTTTCAGCATTTCGACCGTCTATCCAATCTCCAAGTTCAGTTCAACTATTACATCTGCCCTCTATGCGATTGCCGCAATCATTACCGATGCCGAATATACATGTCCTACACGTCGTGCCCTCAAAACTTCATTAACAACCCAACTGGGCACTTATACCTACTTGTGGAATCATGCACCAAGTTGTCCATGGACACCGTCAATTGTAACTTCCATGCTCACCCTCTTAGATGCTACACATACCAGTGAACTTGCATTCGTATTCCATCAGACGTCTAACCCACCACAACCCAATGGACCGTGTGAGTTATCAGCAAGTGAGCAAATACTGGGCATAGAAATAGTGACAGCATGGCAGAGTATGTCGAAAAATGGCTATCCGACATTAGCAAATGGGATTAAGTGGCCAGATTGGAGTCAAGGAGAACAAGGCGTGACATTCAATGAGAGCCTCACATTTGATATAATCAACATGGCACAATGTGACTTTTGGGATACGATTCAAACGGTTACTTCAACTAATGCTACTACGAATACTACAAGTCTGATGACGACAAATATCTTTACTGGCTCTGATGTGATCCTTTCAGGTGCGGCTGCTTCTTGTGATGATAGCACAATTGGCTTTGTTTTGGCAACATTTTTGTTCTTTTACGTATGTGATATAGAAACATACCTTAACAATGTGACGACAAAATTATTTATGACACTTTAATTTTTTTCAAAGACATCATACGTTAGCTTGTTTTGTAAAATGCCTCTCTTCAAAGCTTGTACATTTGCTTGATGCTTATTGTCATAATTAGAAATTATAATTTTCATCTCTTATTCCGTTTTCTACAATTATACATTCAGTATCTATTGCAAAAAATAATTATTAAGCACATTAATAAAGATCATGATAAGAGTATATTGAAACTCTTTACGAGTTATATCCTCTAATCTATTCTCTTAGAATAGGAAATACAGCTAAAATCAATGTATTTTATCTGATGTCGATGAATACGTGCCAATAGAAAAAGATTAAAATCTCACCATTTATTTGCAATGATGATTGCAGCTCGGCTGATGTTGATTAATTTTTAACGTTGGTAGATGAACGTAGCTGTAAGAAAAGGAACAGAAAAGTGAACTTGATAGATATCTATTCGTTTTTCATATTTTAAAACAATCAAACTTTTAAAATATCAAACTAGATGTACATATCTGATGATCTTCATTTCATATGAGGATATATTTCTAAGATGATTGTTGATCCATACTTAAGTTTTATCAACACAAATCAATGAATAAGAGCTAGGACGAAAGTATATGTACGTGAACTTTTCGTACTTGTGTCTAAGTACGGAAAAAAGTACTTGATATTTTTACTCGCAAATAAAAAAAATTGTCTTTTCCTGTATTTGAAGTGGTTTTCTATTTCGTCGAAATTTTGATAGTTACTGCCACTGCCAGAGCGATTATTATTAAGCTCTATTTCTCATGATTTTCTAACCTAAACTTTTAGGGAATCCTAAAACATATTTCAGAAATCTTTCAGCAAAATTTCATATTAAAATTCTTCCAGTCAAAAATTTGGAAAACCTTATTGATGATTTGAAAACGTGGCCAAGCAGTAATCTGTCCCAGGTTATAAATCATGAATCTGAACTCAAATTTTTCTTAGTGTCATGAATGACTACACTTAATCATGGTATTAAATCTAACGAGCATCATCATATTGCGATGTATATTATAGTCTCGAAGAAACTCGAACAATGATGACAAATGACCTGCATTGAATTTATAGTATATTAAAGTTAAGAGTGTTACTAAAATACTCTTATTGTTATTTACTTTTTGATCAGATGATATCACGGCAATCTTTAATAACTTATCACTGGTAGTTAACTTTACCGACGAAATTTATTTATTTTACATTTCAAGTAAAATTACCAAATACTTTTCTCGTACTCAGGCACAAATATGAAAGTATTTTTATCTGAGTTGATTCATATTGTCTTAAGCAGAATTTTTAGTTATACACCAGAGATATGCACTGCTAGAGCGGAAACAGCCACTAGCTGATGGTAAGTATGGTTAATTTTTTGGTGGCTGCACCTCCGAACAAATTTTGGAGAGCAGTGACTGGATGATCGCTCTATTCCCCATCCTCCTAGCTTTTTAAGTCTGCCAGACGATCACCCGTTAAGGAATTCTCCCTTTTCCGACTCAAAATTTAAAATTTTTTTTATTTTTAGCTTTTTCTACTCTATATACTGGACATATTTCAAGAATTGATATGTAACAATAAAAATCGAAGAAATCTGAAAAACAACGGAGCATTTTTGTTCCAAAGCATCAAAATGGGTGACGGACATTTCGCACTAAGTCATTCCGAACTCCTGTTTTGTGTCCGGGTGTTCGGAAATGATTTTTGTCCTGGACAACTTTCATTACGAACACCCTTTTTTTTTAAAATTTTTGATTGATTTTGTCATTCCGAACACCCTGTCTTAGTTTTCTTATGTCTGGAGATCGTAACAAACATCTGCTACCGGTGATCGTAATGAAAAGGTGGTGCGAAATGTCCCATTCCCATCAAAATTTACATTCTATTTTGCCATTTCTGAAAAATGAATTTTTAACAAAAATAGTGTACAATATACAAGTAAAGGGGATAAATCAAGGTATTGTGAGTTAACTCTTTTCCGAGCTCTCACACGCATAGTGATTGCGACAGATGTGTGGATGTATGTGAGCTTGAGTATGAGTCTTTTGCCTTCAGCACTGCCACTCACTCATACCTTTGTTACATGTGATCGATCTGCTGAAATCTTCACCAAATAATAGTGCCGTCATTATTTTCTTGCACCATCGTGGTAGTAATCAACTTCATGCTGAACGAGCTAGAATTTGTTAAGAGTGTCATTCATAAACGCCGTTACACTTCACTGAATGATTGATTCTAATGACAGACGAATTGTGAATGAGACTCAACTCAACAGTGACGATATGACCAATGAACAAAATACTTTAAGCAAATAGAAACTAGATACACGTTAGATGTATCTCGGATAACTCTTCTTGCGAGTATTAGTTCATTCATTCTGTTGGGCAGCGAGTTGTATTTCGATAAGAAATTGACATTAGATATTGAAAGTAGAAACCATTTTACTGTTCCTATTTAACTACCGTTTCTACTCAAAATAAAATATTGATTATTATTGGTTGTACAAACTAATAAAATATTTAACCGACACTATTTTCGTTGGAGAGGAATAAAAATATTTTAAAATCACTCGATTTTTTCCTTTGGCAGCAATTTCAAAATATAAATTTGTTCAGAAACAGCAACTGCTTCATATATTTTACAAAAGTTTAATTTCTTTCCTGTTGAAGTGTTTTGCAGAGACAATCTATTCACTCAATCGACGTGTGCCATTTGTGCTATTCCTGCTCGTTTGATAAAAAGTACAAGTCCTGATATATGATACAGCTAATCATGTTTGGTGTAACGTTTTCAATTCTAGCACGAAAAGGTCAAGGCTTACCTTTGTATTTTTTCTTATCGTCGAGAGAAAAGAAAACACCTTTATTTATTTATCTCGATATATAGACAAAAGATAAAGGAAAAGTATTTCAACACGCACATTTCTTCTCGATAATGTCGTCACCATCAAGCAGCATCAACATTTTTGGCCATGTAGTATCAGGATGGGAAAGTGTACGTGCGAAATTCGAACAAAATTTAGTGGATGGACTTGATGTCGGAGCAAGTCTGTGTATTTATCATTGTGGAGAATGCGTAGTGAACTTGAGTGGTGGTTGGAGAGATGAAAAGACCAAAAACGAACCTTATACACTAGATACTCTTCAGCTTATTTTTTCAACTTCCAAAGGAATTGCAGCAGCAGCCGCGGCATTGTGTGTCGAGAAAGGTTGGCTCGATTATCAAGCGCCTGTAGCCAAATATTGGCCTGAATTTGCTGTCAATGGAAAGGAGGTACGGAGATTACTATCCGTTTATGTTGAACTCTGAGCTCTTCTATCCATATTTATTCGAGAAAACAAGAAAAAAAAACCGAAGAAAGGAACAGACAACGTGGTCGAAACGACTCCGATTTGAGAAGGACATAAAAAAAGGAGAAAAAAATGGTAATATAGTAAGGATGAATCATCGGATTTATATGCATGTATCAATAACTAACGAAAAAAAAAACGAAAGACACGATATTACGGATGGTAGAGTGCAGCATTGAACTTTCTGATATGAACTAAAAAGAATCCATTGTAGAATTTATACTTCCATGTACATTTTATATTCATATATATTTTATCGTAGAACATATCAGTGAGCGATGTATTAGCTCATCGAGCTGGTCTACCATGCATTGACCAACAACTCACAGTTGAGGATGTGTTGGATTGGGGTCGAATGACTTCTTTGTTGGCTGAACAGAAACCTTATTGGGAACCTGGATCAACACATGGTTATCACGCCCACACAATCGGTATTTTGGTTGGTGAACTCATTCAACGAGTCGATCCACAACATCGCTCTTATAGTCGATTCGTACGTGATGAATTGGATCCCGAATTTTATGTCGGAGTGTCTGATGATAAAATCGAAGCACGCATCGCTCCTCTCCTTGTCAAAGTAAGAAATTTCATCTCAAAGGCTACTGCATAAGCTATTGTCAGATCGTGAGACATGATTTGTTGTATGCAAAGCATTGAAGAAATCAAAACATTTGTGTATTAACTATCAAACTATTTCGCAGTATAGATATTTGCAACATTAACATTAATGATATCTTTTATTATAGGGACTTCTTGTTCAGTTACTGCTTGTCTTCCTACATCACTTCGAAATCGCAAACATGTTAGACTTTATGTGAATGTGTTTTCTTATTTATGCAAACTTGTATTCTATCTGACTGCAATAATAATATTCAGTTTTTCCGAACGCATTAAAATGTATTGGCTTTCTTATGCTATTGTCTAGAATTTTCAGAGATCTTTATGAACTTTTCTTAGTCAAAATATAGTTGGAGACCTCAATCAATTCTCAAGAATCAGAAATCAGCAGTAATCGATCTAAACAATGTTGAAAGCAACATGAGATTTACCAGGATCTAAATCATGTGTTAGTGGAATAAGTTTTTTCATCAGTGAAATCTTATTGTATTGAGATTCAGCACAAATGTTTGCTTGTTCGCTCGGAGAGTCCGAAGTTTTTTTTTTTAATATTGGATATAAAATTTCACAGTGAAATTTTCATCGGAACCAGATGCTGAGTTCAAAGGGATAGAATTTATCGATAGCTGTTTCAGTCAAGGATGCTAACTTTCTGCTTCCTCACATTCCTTGTTTTTCTTGTCTCTTCCAGAGCGGTACTAGTTCTGCTACTTTGCCTCAAATGGATTTACTCACCGAAAAGTCAATGACATGTAGTGGTGCCTTCTCTCTAAAAGCGCCTAATAATTGGGACGTTGTTTTCAACCAACCTCGAATACATCAAGCTGTCATGCCAGCTGTTAATGGTATTTCCAATGCACATTCATTGGCACGAATATACGCGTTGCTGATTGGTGATGTTAATGAAAATGACACAAACACAAAGTGTCTTCTGAGCAAGAAAACTTTACAATCGGCCATTGAAAATGTCACACCACCAAATGAACGCGATCACTCCTTTTTTGGCCTAATGACAGAATTTTCAAGAGGAGGATTTGAATTACGTGGGGATTTCTTCAACGTTCTGGGCGACGATGGATTCGGTCATAAAGGTGAGCTGTCGAGAGACGATTAGTTCTACAAATAGTTTTAATTCAGTTTTGAAAGCTTCCAAAACAGTTTCGATATAGTTTTCTTTAATTCACAAAAAAATTGATTCACAACTTTTATTTATCAAATTGAAATATTTAATTAAAGAACAAGTGAAATTAAAATTGAATCAATCATAAGTAATTGCGTATCTTTATTTTTGCTATTAGGTTTTGGTGGCGGTCTTACCTTTGCATCACCTTCGTTACACTTAGCTTTCGCCTATGTATTCAACCAATTGGATCTCAGCACAATGATGACTGACCCGAGACAACTGCAATTTTTCAAACTAATTAACACTATTATCAAAGAAAAAACGACCTCCTAGAAATGTCCTATGATCTCAAGAAGATGATTTAAGAAGAAACATTTTATTAATGGTTAAATTCATTTAGCGTATTCCATCTTTTAAAAAGTAGTAATTAAATTTTATTCTATCTTATCTTAATGTGAAGTATGCATTTGCACTCAATGGCTGTTGCAGGATTGTTGAACAATGATCAAAAATAAGCTTTAAACGATATTCTGTTTGTTAAGTTGCGACAAAAATCTAGCGTATTAATATAACTGAATAAGAGAGAAAAATAATCATTGGTTAGAAATAGTTGTTCAAAAAAGACTGCGAAATATAGTTTGTACATAAACTGCTCCAAAACTTTTATTTTTCATAGAAGAACGATAGTATTTCAAGATTTGTATGTGTGACTGCTTGTTTTGGAAAAGAGAAACATAATCTCAATTTGAACTTGATCGTGTGCATGTAAAGAAAAACATCACCGATAGATTTCGTAATCATGCAGATTAGGGATGTGCAGTTTCGGTGAAAACACTGAATTACTGACAGTGACACACCGACACTGAGCGTCACTGTCTGCACTGACGCACTGACAGTGAGCGAACTGTCTGCAGTGACGCACTGATGATGAGCGAACTGTCTGCAGTGATACACTGACACTGATTTGCACTGTCTGCAGGGAGACACTATCAGGTCAAAAGTGGAGCTTCACCTGGGCGGTGTTCCCTCGTCAGTGTCAGTGTGCCACTGCAGACAGTGCGGTCACTGTCAGTGCATCACTGCAGACAGTTCGCTCATTGTCTGTGTGTCACTGCAGACAGTGCGCTCATTGTCAGTGTCGTCAGCGTACCAGTGAACGCCAGTGCAGTTTTATCGGTGGTCAGTATACTGAAATTGCACATCCCTAATGCAGATACACAACACTTAGGATCATGTGTAAATCTCGCAAACAGCAACAAAGTTATTAAATGATTCACTTCATGTTATACTTTGTGTGACAAACTATGAGATAAAATTGAAATCTTTGACATCAAATGCATTGAATATTGTTGTTTGAAATCGCTTCCCATTAGAATAATTGTTCAGATTGAACTTTTCATGAGGTTGGTTCAACAGATCCATAAGAATTTTTTCCTCAAACAAAGACGGCTCGCATTCAAGGTACGATTCCAAAGAATCAATATAGTGTTGCGGATGAATGGCAACAAAGATCACAGACGAATCTGAAATAAAATCCCAAATGGAAACTATTTTGAATTGTGGGTGTGGGTGTGGGATAGAAGTAAATTGAACAATTATACTCCCACCTCCACCCCACCATACCGAGATTTTAATCGATTTTTGTACGATATGTCAAAAAACAATTTCTAATGCTGGAAAGCATTACAAACAACTACAGATATTACTAGAACCTGCTGAGAATCAGTAGAAACCACTGAAAATCAAGAAATCAGTGCTCAACTCGAATCAACTATGTTTTTAAACGACGCTGAGTGATATGATCAAACAATAGGACTTTGACCAGCAGCTATTCAGGTGCATTAACGATGCACTGATCATGCAGTAGCTGTGTCACTAAACGGATTAGTGTATATTATTGACGACATTAGCTCTGGAAATCATACCCAAACTGCTGATATAACGGGTCATGCGAAAGGTTTTGCGAAACAAAAATGTCATACCGTCTTTCGCCGGCTAAAACATTTTCCCGGAGAATCCAAAGTACCTATTTAGAATCTACGTCGAAATGACTTTTTACCTATATGGTCGAAATAATTCTATAGTGTCTCTCCTTTTGATACCAAACATGTCTTCGAACAGCACTAAAATTTGATCTGAAAAGGAAAAACGGCTTCGAATGATCGTCGAAAAATCTATCGACCTCTCGCTATTTTAAGAGTTTCTTCTACCTTTTTTTTGTAGAGCATTAAATGGCGAATCTAATGAAAAGGGTGTGGCTGATGGTGTGGGTGCGAGTGTGGGTGGGTGGGGTGTGGGTGAGTGTGGGGTGTGGGTGGGTGTGAGTGTGGGGGTGGGTGTCGGTGTGGGTGTGGGTATGGGTGTGGGTGTGGGTGTTGGTGTGGGTGTGGATGTGGGTGTGGGTGTGGATGTGGTTATCGATGATTATTGGGATCATCTTTTCACGCACACCCACCCAGCAAAACCGAGTCGTGGATCGAAATCAAGATTCACGCCAATTGATGGGTACCGTAAATTTTGGTGCTGGAATTCTAACCTTAACAGAACGAGAATGTGCTTACGCGTGTAGGCTTGTATATGGAGAACAGAATGGTGTCAGCTTGGTTTTCGTTCAAACATGCTTACTTGTTCGTGAAGGCGTGCTTGATGATGTTTCGCTAATAGAACGATTATATGTATTGAAATCTATTGGCCAGGGGAGCATCCACGCGAACCAGGGAAATCACGAGCTTCGATTTGGCATGATTCAATTTAGAAACCATAACCCACTCAATATTCCTGAAGAGACTGATCGACATTATCGATGAATATCACCATTAACTAGGCATGAAAATGCTGAAGTAGGGGATGAGACTTTAGAAAACAAAAAAATCTCGACCTGTTTTCTTATATACATGAAAATGATAGTTTTCATAGAAAAATATATTATATGATCTTCAGAATCTGAACGAAACTTTGTTAGTTGTAAGTACCCATGTTCGAATCTTATCTTTTGCACTTATCGGATAGGTTTAGTGGCTCAGAAATGATCTATGCAGTAGATATTTGTTTTTTAAAGGACGGGTGACGGTTTCTGTGGGTGTGGAAATTAAGAGAGATTTCTTACGGTCACATACGAATGCCCACGTCCACACTCACACCTAAGATCTCTTAAAGAAGAGCAAATATGAACATAGTTTCGAACACTCTGTCTTTATCCATTATGATCTCCCTGTTTTTATTTTTAGGGTCTTGCGGTTATTTTCATTGAAAACTCCAGCCATATTCGAGGATTTCATCTATAAAAGTCAACTGCCGCTGTTCATTATGATCTGCTGACCAATTTTCATTCCGAACATCCTGCTTCTTTAATTTTTCACTGATTTTGATCATTTTGAACTCCCATACACATAATTCAGAACATTCTGTCTGTTTTCTTATGTTCCGGAGAACGTAACGAAAGATTAGTGCTAAACGTCTGTTTTCTTCCAACATCCACTCACACCCCGGTTCAGCCTGCCTTACACACTTCGCAGATGTAGAACAGTGTTAGTGTTCTCGTTAAAGTATTGAATTTCGGCATCTCATTTCCAAATTGTTTCCTTTTAAATAATCAAATATTCGATTCCATAGTTATTGTTTGTAGTGCAGGCGTGTGTGCGAGTATAGATCTCATTCCGCGGTTGATTTACATCCACACCCACACCGACCCACACCCACACCTACTCACACCCACACCGACCCACACTCACACCGACCCACACCCACACCCATACCGACCCACACC